TGTTGGTAAATTGGACATAAGAGTCTCATAGACTTACCTGCCCAGGATGGCTTTGACCTGCGATCCTCAGATCTCAGCTTCCTGAATAGCCAGGATTACAGGTGTCAGCCAATAGTGGCTAGCTCCTGGATACTTTCTTTTCTAGACCACATGGGGGTTGTTTTTGTGGGCTCCTCATTAATTAGTATCAAATGACTGTGGCCTGCATGATACATTTTACATTTTTCTGTGGAAGATGAACTAGTTAGATACAATCAATATAACCTCTCAGTCTTTCAGAGAATCCCTCTTCATTTTAGGCAGAAAGTTGCATTAGTTGGTATAGACTGGTAAAAATGAAAAAGAAACATCATAGTTACTGTGTTCAAAGAATTCACTTCACTAAGAAGCTAGGCCTCACTGTGAAAATCATGAAGGCTGGTGATCCATGATTAGGTAGCTTCTGTTGGGCACATGATTTGTTGAACTAATGCCACTAATCTTAACAACTATGTAACATAGGCAAGTTGTCTGTGGCAGGGGAGGCCAGGATTCAGAGATGCGTGATGTACAGATCCATTCTCAAGAGCATTAAAATCTCATTTAGGTGTCTGAGAATTTGGCTTAGTGGTAGAGAGCTTGCTTAGCATGCATAAAGCCCTGGGTTTGATTCCTCCATACCACATAAACACAAAAAGCTGGAAGTGGCACTGTGGCTCAAGTGGTAGAGCTCTAGTCTTGAGCACAGAGAGGCTCATGGACAGAGCCCAGACCCTGAGTTCAAGCCCCAGGACCAGCAAAAAAGAAAAAGAAAATCTTATTCAGATATTAGCTTTTAGTTCTTCTCCATCAGAGAGAGCAAGAGGTGATGAAAGGGAATGAATTTGTATGCCATTCAGTGTTGATATTTAGGAAGAAAAAAAGAGCTGCTTGATGGACAGGAGGAAGGGAAAACCTGGAGCCTGGATCATCTAGGGATGAATGTGTCTTCAAAACATAGAGATTTGTTTAGAGAGAGCAAGAGTTGCGGTATCCATCACTCTTTAGACTCAAGAAAACAATTAGTAGAGACATTCAGATTGCAAGCTAATGAAGCCACCTAGTGGTTTGTTCCTTAAATTAAGGTTGTATGAACATGGTATTTTAAGTAACATGTGCAAGTGTGACTATGATTCTGCATTAAGCCCAGAAAACAGGCCCAGCTTTTTCTGAGGATAAGCATAGCATGCCTTTAATGTTCTGTTTATAGTTTTTTTTGGGGGGGGAGTATTGGTACTGGGGCTTGGACTCAGGGCTTCACGCTCTTGCATGGTTTGTTTTGCTCAAGACTGGCTTTTTATCACTTGAGCCATGCCTCTACTTCTAACTTGTTGCTGGTTAGTTGGACATAGAGTTTCTCAGACTCTTTCTTGCCTGTGCTGGCTTTAATCAGAGATCTTAAGATCTCAGCTTCTCGAGTAGCTAGGGTTATAGGCATGAGCCATCAGTGTCTAACTTGTTTATAATCTTTTTTTTTTAAATCATAAAAAATTTAAGGCAGCTTGCATGACAAACAGTGAGAAAGCACAAATCAGGACTTAGGAACAAAGGAGAAAAAAGATAGTCACAAAGGCATAAAAATAATACAAAATCATAGTAATTCCTAGATGCATCCTAAATCCTATGTATCTGTCTTAAAAGAGTCTAAAACTTCATGTTATAGTGTCCTTGATCCACCAAAAAATTCAACATCAAGAAAGACGTAGCCTTATTTTGCGGGGGAGGGGAGGGGTGGTGAGGGGTGTAAATTACTACTTGATGCTAGGTGTAGAGAAGTCTGAATAGGGCTGGGAAGGTGGCTCAGTGGTAGAGTGCTTGCCTTGCATGCATGAGGCACTGGGTTGGATTTCTCAGCACCACATAAGCAAAAAGAAAAAAGCCAGAAGTGGTGCTGTGGCTCAATTGGTTGAGCGCTAGGCCTTGAGCTCAAGAGCTGAGGGACAGCACCCAGGCCCCGAGTTCAGGCCCCATGACCAGACCCCCCCCGCCCAGAAAAAAAGAAGTCTGAATAGCCAGCCTCATACAACTGCATAATGCAATGCAAAATGTTCTCCATGCTTATAGTAGAAATCTGAATCTTGTAGGACTTTTTCTTTTTTCTTTTGGTCGGCCGTGGGGCTTGAACTCTGGGCCTGGGCGCTGTCCCTCAGCTCTTCAGCTCAAGGCAAGCACTTGAGCTACAGAGCCACTTCTGGTTTTCTGGTGGTTTATTGGAGATAGGAGTCTCATGGTCTCTCCTGCCCGGGCTGGCTTTGAACCGCGATCCTCAGATCTCAGCTTCCTGAGTAGCTAGGATTACAGGCATGAGCCACCAGCGCCCGGCTTTTTCTTAATTGTACCTACACTGATTTGAGGAGGGAAGGTGCACCAACTTCCATTTGAATGGCTTGCATTAACTTAACCAACTCACACGGTAAGTCATGAAGTACAAGGTGATATTGTTGCCACATCTTAGATTAGCTAACTGAGTCACAGGGAGGCTAAGAACTTCCCTGTACTCAGGCTGTGAATCAGTAGTAGAGCTGGGATCCAAACCTGGGCAATGTAGCTCAGTACTCAGAGTCTTGATACACTGAACAGTCTGTTCAGTGCAATAAGGCCCATCCAGTGCAAAGGGCAATGACTCGGGATCCCCCCTTCTCTTTATTCAGTCTATGGGAACCTGATAGGCATGTTTGAACTCGATGCTAAGATGAAGCCAAGGCTGCCAACTTTTGACATGACTTTGTTTTCTTCCATAGTCACAGGCTTTGTCCTCATTTCCAGTCACCACACTCATAGGCATGTGCCTTTGGTCAGAAAAAGAGGAGCAGATTTACAGCCTCCTGACTTCAAGAAAGTAGCTCAGGGCTGGGAAGGTGGCTTAGTGGTAGAGTGCTTGCCTAGCATGCATGGAGCCCTAGGTTCAATTCCTCTGTGCCACATACACAGAAAAAGCTGGAAATGGTGCTGTGGCTCAAGTGATAGAGCCTTAGCCTTGAGCAAAAGAAGCTCAGGGACAGCACTCAGGCCCTGAGTTCAAGCACCAAAACTGGCAAAAAAAAAAGTAGCTAGAATCTTACTACCTTTTCTTATAGCTATGCTTGGATACAGGATCTGAAATGCAGTCATAATAAAATACAGTTTATTCTCTCTCTGTCTCTCTCTGTGTCTCTCTCTCTGTGCTGGTATTGGGGTTTGAACTCAGAACCTTGTGCTCTCACTTGGCTTTTTTTTTGTTCAAGGCTAGCCTTTGCCATTTGAACCACACCTCTACTTCTGGCTTTTTTAAAATGGCTAATTGGACATAAGGATCTCATGGACTTTCCTGTTCAGTCTGACTTCAGATTTCAGTCCTCAGATCTCAGACTCCAAGTAGCTAGGATTACAGGTGTGAACCACCAGCTCTCAGCTCCCTTTTCTCTTCCAGAGTGGTATCTAAAAATATCTGTGAGTGGCACATAAATTATTTTTCTTAATCAGCCATGGAAGTTGATTAGCAATCAGCAAAAGGAATGTTAAAGTTTTTTTTTTTGAAAGGAACTTAGTAGGGAAATAATGGCACCAGTGGAACATTTTCAGTTATTGGAGTCAAACTAACATATAGCTTGAGTCTTAAATTGGGCATTTAAAGTGATGTTCTTATAAGCTCTACATTAGGTTAGTTGTGTGGCTAATGTCTTTGCTAAGAAAGAGGAAAATGTGTACTCTGTAAAATGACTTTTCTATATAGATAAGTCTTCCTAAAAGCAATTGCTATGACATTTTGAAGAGAACACTTAGCTCAGAGACAATCATAATGCTACTAAAACATTCAGCTTCTGAATTGGGACCAACATGATGGCCTGCCACATCTGAGACTATAAAGAACTTTTCAGAATGATAACCTTTTAATGGCTTCCTGTGCTCTTGGATGATTCATCCTATTAATGCAATGTAAATAAAAGAAGAGGGATGCTGCTCTGTGTAGGCAACATTGGCCAGAAGTCAAGCTGCTTAGGATTCACTTTCTTATAACAAAGGGAGACCTGGATTGTTGGCATTCCAGTTTTCACCTGAACTTTGGAGCAAGTCTTGGGTTCACACATCCAAAATTCTAATACCTATTAGAATTAGCTAGAAGATATTGACTTTGTCAAGTAAACTACTTGAAGCTGTTTCTTCCTTTATCAATTGGTCTAACTACATGGATTTTTATTAGGCTTATTATTATTATTATTATTGTTGTTGGTAATGGGGTCTGAACTCTGGGCCTGGGCACTGTCCCTCAGCTCTTCAGCTCAAGGCTGGTGCTCTCTCACTTAAGTCACAGCGCCACTTCTGCTTTTTCTGCTTATATGGTCCTGAGGAACTGAACACAGAGCCTCATGCATGCAAGGCAACCATCTACTAATGAGCCACCTTTCCAGCCCCTATTGGGCTTATATTATGGGCAGAGGTCGTGTTTCTACATTGTTTCAATCTTGAGAAGAATCTTTTTTTTTTATTTTTTTGGGTCCAGTCGTGGGGCCTGAACTCTGGGCCTGGGTGCTGTCCCTCAGCTCTTCAGCTCAAGGCTAGCACTCTACCACTTGAGCCACAGCACTACTTCTGGCTTTTTTCTTATGTGGTGCTGAGGAATCGAACCCAGGGCCTTGAGCATGCAAGGCAAGTGCTCTACCACTGAGCCACCTTCCCAGCCCTTGAGAAGAATCTTGAATGGCATATCAGCTAAGCCTCCTTTGCAGATACAATTATTGAAGTTGTGTAAGAAGATAATGTGCAGAGTTTAGTAAGATACTCATGTAAAGCATCATATCACTTGATACAGAAACTTGTTCAGCAGTGGTAGATGATGTTGTTTGTATTAGTGCCATCTTGTCTACCCTTTTTTCTTCTTTCAGGCATGCTTTGAAGATCAGTGAAGAGAAAAACCATAGGCTTAAGCAACAGGTAGCTCAGGAATGAGATAGAGGTTATGGCCAGAGGGTATAGATAAAAATGAATTTTTATTTTTCTTACAGGAGTGGCAAAAACTCAACTATGATATCTATACCCTGAGGCAGATTCGGAGAGAAGTCAGAAACAGATGGAAATGCATTTTAGAAGATTTGGGTGAGTCTGAAAGAGATTGTGAAGAGGTTAAAAAGGAACTAATCATGATACAGCTATTTTTTTTCCACCCTAAATTCTGCATGGAGGTCAGTGACTGTCTAAGCTATCATGTACTATTATTCTTCCCAGTCTGCTCTTATACCCCCAAACATCAGCCCTTGACCTCCCTCCCTCCCTTCATCTATCCCTTTCTCCCTCCCTCCCTTTGTCCATCCCTCTCTCTCGTCTTTCTTCCTTTTTTGTGTGCTGTTACTGGGACTTAAACCCTGGGCCTGTGTTCTTGCTTGGCTTTCTTTCTCAAGGCTAGCACTCTACCACTTGGGCCACCTCTCTACTTTGAGCTTTTTGCTAGTTAATTGGAGATAAGAGTCTCATGGACTTTTCTGCCTTGGCTAGCTTGGAGCTGTGATTCTCAGATCTCAGTCTCCTGAGTAGCTAGGATTATAGATGTGGGCTGCCAGTGCCTGGCATTTCCGTGGTCCCTGACCAGCCTGACCAGATACACTGCCCTAGGTTACTCATCTGTCCTCAGTATAGGGTAGCACAGGGCAAAGGCAATGCACCATTGTGCATTGACTGAATTATATGGGGATATTGGCCAACTAGTAATAACTATGGGTGAGACAGAGCTGGGAGAAATATTGTTTGTAAGAGAAATAATACGTCTTCATACAACATTTCAGAAGAAGTTAAAGAAGGAAAGTTTCATGCTTGGAAAAATATCTGTGGTATTGGGGTTGATATTGGGTAATGAGTTTCTTAATTCTACCAGAGTTGAGATGCCATAAACATGTCCCTCACATCATAACATAACCTTGCTTGAATGTTTAAAAAGTAAATTTATCATTGTGGGTATTAGAATTTGGAACTCTAGTCCTTGAGCTTTCTAAACAAGTGCTCCTACCACTGAAACACATCTCCAGCCCACCCTGGCTGGTTCCTTCCTTCCTTCCTTCCTTTCTTTCTTTCCTTCTTCCTTTCTTCCTTCCTTCCTTCCTTTCTTTCTTTCTTTCTTTCTTTCTTTCTTTCTTTCTTTCTTTCTTTCTTTCTTTCTTTCTTTCTTTCATGTTTTTTGGTCAGTCATGGGGCTTGAATTCTGAGCCTAGGCACTTGTCCCTTAGCTCTTCAGCTCAAGGCTAATGTTCTACCACTTGAGCCACAGCGCCATTTCCAGTTTTCTGGTGGTTTATTGGAGATAAGAGTCTTACAGACTTTCCTGCCTGGGCTGGCTTTGAATCATGATCCTCAGATCTCAGCCTCCTGTGTAGCTAGGATTACAGGCATGAGCCACCAGCTCCCAGATAGGATCTCATTTCCTACCTGGGTATAATTTGCCTACATTAGGCTTCTCTGTCACTAGGACAATAAGAGAAGACCATCATGTCCAACTCTTCATTGAGAAGGGCTTCTCACAGACTTCTTTTTGCCTGGGTTATCCTTGACCCATAATCCTAACAATCTCAGCCTTCTAAGTGGCTAGAATTTTAAGTGTGAATGATTGACATCAAGGTGAATGTATTAATTTTGAAGCCCTTGATTCTTCTGTCCTGAAAGGACATGGTACTCTGGCATCATAACTTTTAAAGGAGAGATGCCATGTTTCTAGTTCCTATTAGTTGGGGTGAAGTAGGATGAGGTGGACCTCTGCTCTCTAAGTCACCCAATATTGCTGTGGGTTAATAGTCTTTTAATCTGAGTTATTCTAGGTAGGTTTAAAGTCTTTGAGTCTTTCCTACCTTGGGGTAAGACATGTTCACCAGCCAACCACGCTGCCCTGAGAAGGGAAGTGTGGGCTTGGAGAAGCAGGGTAGGAGGTGAACCCTTTTGCAGGTTGGGACTTGGGGTGGGGTAATAATTCTAAGGACCTGGGGGGGGGAGGTGAAGGATTGGGAGGACAGGGAACTGGATTTCCAACTCAGCATAGGACAGCAGGTAGTCAGTGGGTCCTCCTAGGGCTGGAACTCAGGGCCTGGGTGGTGTCCCTGAATTTTTATGCTTAAGGATAGCACTCTATCGCTTGAGTGTCCACTTCTGGCATTTTTTTGGAGTTTAACTTACAGACTTTCCTGCCTGGGCTGGCTTTGAACCGTGATCCACAGATCTCAGCCTCCTGAGAAGCTAGGATTACAGGAATGAGCTACCTGAACCCGGCTTTACACAAATTTTAATTAAAGACCAATCCCACTGCTCTGGGAAGCAGCATAGCAGTTCTACCCCATGTCCATATTGCCTTGTTTGTGCATAATCTGCATCTGGGTCCATTCTATCTCCTGTGGGCACCATATCGCAGGGCAGCTATTTATCTGGGGGTAACATTTTCTACCTTAGGTTTTCAAAGGGAAGCGGACTCATTGTTGTCAGTGACCAAACTCAGCACCATGAGTGATTCTAAAAACACAAGGGAAGCTCGAGAGATGCTGTTAAAGCTGGCTGAAGAAACCAATATTTTCCCAACCAGCTGGGAGCTCTCTGAGCGGTATCTCTTTGTTGTGGTAAGTGAGTTCCTTTCATTACATGCCTTGATTTTGCCTGAGATTTTTGTTGTTGTTGTTTGTTTGTCTTCTCTGTTGTTTCCCACGCCACCAGGGCCATCATAACTGTGGCTCATGGTGGCAGATGCTACCGCTATTATCCGCTCTGCTTTCCAGTGACGGGTGCCAGCCATGTCTCTGAAAAGGCTTTGAAAATTCACAATTCTGGATCACACCTAAACCTGTCAAGGCTCAGATTGTGCTTCTCTGCTGATTTTGCTGGGCAGCCAGTTTTGAACCATTTGCTGGTCATCAAATTGTAATATGAGAACACTTGTTTATATTACCTAAGATTAAGGAGTCATCTGAAAGACCTGTGAGGCTTGATGGAGTGATGTGAAACAATGGTTAGGAAATGTGTTTAAATCTGTTGAGAAAAAGTTCACGAATATTTTAGTTGCTCAATCTTATTCTAGGGTGGGTTTGGTGTGTGTGTGTGTGTGTGTGTGTGTGTGTGTGTGTGTGTGTGTGTGCCTGGGCACTGTCTCTGAGCTTTTGCTTGACTAGCACTCTACCACTTGAGCAACTGCACTACTTCCAGCTTTTGCTGTGATTTAATTGGAGATGAGAATCTCACAGACTTTCCCACCCGAGCTGGTTTTGAACTGTGATCCTCAGATCTCAACCTTCTGAGTTATTAGGATATAGGCATGAGCCTCCAGTGCCCAGTTTTGTTCCTGAGCTTATTGCTCAAAGTTAGTGTTCTACCACTTGAGCCACAGTCCCCTTCCTGTTTTTTCTTTTTTTGTGTGTGTGTGTGTGTGTGGTTAATTGGGTTTGGTTTCATTGTCCCATCCACAGGGCTTGGTTTCTGACTTGACAATCTATTTTACCTCTCTGTAGGACCGTCTCATTGCTCTGGATGCAGCAGAAGAATTCTTTAAAGTTGCTAGTCGAACTTACCCCAAGAGTTCTGGGGTTCCATGCCTGGCAGTTGGCCAGAAAGAACCACACTGCCTTCCATTTCCAAGTCCTTAAGGAGAAGCACAGAAGCAGAAAGGGAAATTTCCCACTGGGATGCAACAGCTAAGCAAAGCTGGACGACTGCAAAGTTGGATGGGGAGCGCTTGCTGTGTGAAATGGATTCTGAATTCTGTATAACACAAGGTCTTCATGAGGACCTTATTTATGAAGTGTTCATAGCTACGTTGAAACACTAGAGTGATATTACTTTCTAGAAAGAAAGTAAAAGAGCTTCTTAGGGGAAGAGTTCTTGGGTGACCAGATAAAAGGGCTCATTTTGCCCAGCTTTGGTTTTAATGGTACAATCAGTTCTGATCATTCAGCCTATGATGGAGTGGGTTATCCTAACTGGTAAAATAAAATAGTTACCAAAGAGAGTGATCAGTTGGGTGCTGGCAGCTCACGCCTGTAAATCCTAGCTACTCAGGAGGCTGAGATCTGAGGATCATCGTTCAGAGGCAGCCTGGGTAAGAAAGGCTGTGAGACTCTTATCTCCAAAAAACTGCTTAGAAAAAAAGCTGGAAATGGTGCTGTAGCTCAAGTGATAGAGTGCTAGCCTTGAGCAAAAGAAGCTCAGGGATAACACCTAGGCACTGAGTTCAAGCCCCAGGAGCACCCACCTCCCTCCCCCACCCCCCAAAAAAGGGAGAAAGAGTGATCATTGAGCCCCCAAGTAGATTTTTACATTTGAAAGAATTAATCTAAAATATAATACTAGAAAAATTGCCCCCAAATAATATTAGGCATGATATGACCTCTCTTTGACTTGGAAAACCCTGCAGAACTTGGGGTGGTGTTTGAGGTATTATTTTGGTACCAGTTATGCTCACTGAGAAGTGTAGATGAACCAGATACATGTTTAGGAATGCTGTTCAGAGGTGAGTTCCAAAAGGAATGATCCCTTGAGCTGATGTTTCCTGAAGCTTCGAGGAAAAATTTGCACTTGTGGTGTGATACATCTTGAATCCTCAACATGGCTGATACCTGGTCATCTCACTTTTGCATCTTACTTGTTTCCACTCTGAGAGCCCAGGGCATTTGATCAGGGATAGAATCTGTAAGTAGAAGTGTTTGCCCTGCACTTCCGTCTCCTGTCTTTAGTTTATTTCTGGAGGGCCAGGGTTGCACTTCTCATGCAGACCTACAGGTAGGCAGGAGGCCATGGCTTGTTACTGGGTCTTCTTCCATCACAGAAGCAGAGCAGGTGATATCAGCTTACTGCTGTCCATAGATGGACAAGTCCAGCTGCAAAACTTATCAGTTCAGCAAGGAGCTTGCCCAGTGATCCTGAGATCCTGGTTCATTTTGTTATAAAACCTTTAATAAGGAGTTATAGAGTTTATCAGGAGATTGCTGAGAACAATGACAATATTTAAAAAATTTTTTTTCAGATTTTGCACTTCTGACTTCAGGTTATAAACTAACTTGTGTTAGTCTCTCCAGGGGATTGTGACTTGAAGAATTTCATATCCTGATTAGCGTTTTATTTT